CGTTCCACATACCAACTTGCTGAGGCTGTTTGAAGATGCACCCCACATGACACCTTAGGGAGTTGCAGATTGGACAATGGGTTGGGGAATTGGGGGGGAGGATGCTGGGTAAACGTTTGATATGTATATGTTCCCGCCTTTTTGACTCAGATCTTGCTTTCCTTTTGCTGTTTTCACTTCATATCTAGTAAAAGTACTTTAACTCTATTAAAATGGAGTTGAGGTTTTCCTTTCTTAGATATTGAAGGAGGCATGCCTGACAGGTATCCTGAGACAGTTCAACTAGCCAAATGGGCATTATTTGAAAATAAAGTGGTGGTGATGAAGCCCGTTGCTTTGTTCACTTTCTATCATATGAATCTTTTTTTTAATTAGCCACATCCTCCATGGCAATTACTTTATGGGAGTGCCAACAACAGTCTTTTAAAATTCCAAATGAGTTTATAAACCCATAAGGTTGGTGTAGTTTATTGAACAAGTCTCATGGCTGAGTTTACATACAACACAGAATTTATTGACAAATGTATATTCTGGACTAGGACAATAGTGACTGCAGAATAGATTAAACTGAAGCTGGGCAACTTTGGCAAGCATGACTGGCTGGGGAATTCTGGGAGTTGAAGTCCATACCTCTTAAAGTTGACCAGCTTAAGCAACTTGGTTTAAACTTAAACTCTAGGTAGCATCCTATGATCATATCTCTGTAATGGAGCCTTTTCAAGGAAAATTGAAAGGTTGGTTTTTTTTCCAAAAGCAACTGGATGTTCTTTGTTTTTTCTTGAAGACATTTTTCTTCTGATCCAAAAAGCTTCTTCAGTTTCTCTTTTACCTTTTGGGGGAAAAAAAAGCACCTTTGAGACAACCATGAATGAATGACTGAGAATCTCCAAAGACATTTTCAAGGAAAAGTGTTGGGTTTGATGCTGAACTGGTTTAAAATAAGCTTTAAAAAGCTTAAAAATAGCATACTTTTGGGGTATAAAACATTCCCGGTCACCTTATGTTAAATGGAACAGGAACACTGGATGGGCAAAATCATTTCTTCAACAGTCTCGAAAGCCTCTTCTAGTCAAACTAGCTTAATCTAGCTTAATCTAATCTAATCTAATCCAAATCTAGTTTCCTTCAGATATAATATGATACTATTTCAAGATATTTCAAGCAGCTTGGGCCAAGCATATCTTGAGGGCAACAGCTTAGAAAACAATTGATTTGTAAAATGTACCTTTATAGTGATCTGTTGATGATCTTGACAATGAATTAGCTTGCACCGAAGGGTGGAGAGTGAAGGAGAGCTGTGTTTAACTGATATAGATATATATTAATAGAATGCTATCAAGTCATCGGGGCCTTGGATCCTAAGGTTTCCTTTGGTAAATTTGCACTTTTAAAACAGAAGAAAACTTAGAACCTGACATGCAATGGAATGTTGATTCCACAATTTCCAGCCCTCGTATATTGTTGCTCTGGACCCAAGCATGTTTGCATGCGTACCTGTGGGATGAATCCAAGCAGAAAGCCTGCTGGAAACACCTTCTCAGCCACTACACTCCTCAGGCTGATGACCCTTTGCCCTTCCCATCCCAAATCTCCTTTTCAGAATTGAGATCCGTAGAGTAATCCTCCCTTCTGCCTTCTTCTTCTTCTTCTTTTCTTTTCTGTGACTGCCTTTGTCCTGAAAGGGAAAGCTCATGGCTTGTGATTGTGCTAGAAAACAGCTCCCGCTCTTCCTTCCTGAATGGGCTCACATGGAACTACGAAAAAGAAAAAAAAAAAGCCACAGAGAGAGAGAGATGGATTACGCACTCGGTTGGTTGGAGAGCTGACTCACCCTCGAAGGAGTTTGCTAGGGCAGCTTTGAGAGATGTGCTAGGCCAGCGCAGTTTGGCTGCTGTTCACCTCGGAGTTGCCATCTGTGGAGCCCACTCCTGACCTTCTTGGCATCCCAGAGAAGGAGAGTAATAGCAAGGGGACCTGAGTGGGAGGGAAATGAGTAATGTGGCCTTTATGGTTCGTTCTCCCTGGGTTTTTGACTTTAGCCTCCTCGTAGGCTGGAGATATTGGTGGCACTTGGAAGTAGGAATGTACAATCCCTGTTCTTCCCAACCTGAAAGCTTTCACATCAACAAGGTCGGGAGATAAACATCTTAAATTTAAGAATTAAAATAAAACAAAAATTAAGCAGGATGTAGCTGGAGGGAGTAAAGTGCACACAGGGAGGAAGTGGGGTGCTTGCTATTCCATTAGTCACCTCCAATGTGCCACATCACCATTGGGCTAGTTAATGTAGCCATGTCTTCAAGGAAGGCCAAAAGGCTGGCAGCAGACCAGCCTTTTATTCCTTCCAACTTAATGAAATATTAGGAGGAAATTTCTATATAGTAGTTCTGCCTTTCCATTTGTTTGAGCAGCCCTTGCTCAAAAGGTGAGTAGAAATCCTGCCTGCCTGCCTGCCTGCCTGCCTGCCTGCCTGCCTACCTAATACGTTTGCCAAATTAACTGCGGCATTGATCACTGATAATGCTGCTTTATCGCTGATAAGGGAGCCAAGGAATTTCCACAACTTTTCTTGTGCCAAGAAGTAAATGTGGGTGTTAGCATTGACGTCCCTAGCAGGCCGTAGACACAGACCATTAACCTGCTTTGCTGCAAGGCATGGGGAGAAACGTAAAGAGTCATACACGGATCCCTTTTGCTTGTTATCATTCCATTTTTAACT